TTTAACCCATTTTTATTTATGAAACGCCCATTCTGTATGTTCTGCCTCATGGGAAGCCCTGTGAAAAATGGGAAATATTCAGTCTCTACTCTTAAAGTCACTATTCATTATGAACAAGACACTTAGTACATACAGTAATAACTCTCGAGTCCATCAAAATAGTCTGAATTCTCAGCGAAAAACATGAAAGTGACAGAAGAAGGTCACTGTATTTTGAAAAATGTAGAAAAATTATGAAACCCTGGGATCAGGTCAATAGCATTTTTCAGAGAGTAGCTCCTCCAATAAAAGTTTAATGAATTAAAAAACATACTAGGATAATTAACGTTTCTACCTTTTGAGTCTTAGTATTCATAGTCCTGAATAAGAAGTCTGCATATCCAATTAACCAAAAACAGTATTAACTCAAAATATTTTTTTAAATATTTTTTAAAACTTTATTTATTTTTGAGAGAAAAAGACAGCAACCAGGGAGGTGCAGAGAGAGAGAGACAGAGTCAAAGAATCTGAACTAGGCTCGAGGCTCTGAGCTGTCAGCACAGAGCCCGACGCGGGGCTCAAACCCACAAACTATGAGATCATGACCTGAGTCGAAGTCGGGCACTTAACTGACTGAGCCACCCAGGTGCCCCACCTCAAAATATTTTATTTTTTTTAATTTTTTTTATTTACACTTATTTATTTTTGATAGAGAGAGACAGAGCACAAGTGGGGGAGGGGCAGAGATAGAAGGAGACACAGAATCCAAAGCAGGCTCCAGGCTCCGAGCTGTCAGCACAGAGCCCGACACAGGGCTCGAACCCACAAACCGCAAGATCATGACCTGAGGCAAAGTTGGACGCTTAACCGACTGAGCCACCCAGGCGCCCCTTTTTTCTTTTTTAATTTTTTTATTTACTCAACTCAAAATATTTTAAATCCGTGAGTTAAATACGTCTGTCTCTTCAAGAATCTGTTCATCCATCTGACGGTATTTACTGAGTCTGGCTACAGTCTGGTTGAATGGATTCAACACTGAACAAGAAAGACGTGGTCCTTGCCTTCCAGAAGCTTCAGTTAAGCAAAAAGACATGGATGTTACACCAAGAACCACACAAATGACCAAGTCTAATTGTGAGCTGGGCAACAAGGCAGAAGCGAGGGCACGGAATGTAGGACAAGGACAGAAGCCAAGGGCCCAGGCAAGACTTCTTTAAGAGGATTCATATTTGCAGCTGAACCCTTCTGCAGCATCTAACAGACAAAAGGTATGTGAAGAACAGAGAAGAGGCCGGTGGCGGGCACACAGGGGAGGCCCCGCACATGAGCCGTGGAGGGAAGCATGGCTGAGTCACCAGCAGGCTCAGCGCCATCTTGGAGGGCTGTCAGGGAGCTTTACCTACAGCCCAAGCCACAAGATGGTTTGTGTGGGGGTGTCAGATTCTGATGGCGGACTAAAACTCCCATTTATTTCCCTAAACCAAAATTCCAGTGAAGAATTTTTAAGACCCAAATCCACTCAGTAGCAGCAAAGTTTTGGAAGGTAACAACACAGATGAGTAAAAAGTGACTGATTTAACACAATCAACAGAACCCATCTCAAGCCTTCAGCAGCAAAGCTGAGAACCAATGCAGGGCAGACAGCAGAATCTTCGAGAGACTCAGCAAATGGTCACACCACATATGCCTAAAACTGGGGGTGGATGGGAACCGATGAGGGAAGAAGCTCCCTCCTCCACTCCCAAAGACCAACCGTGCTCCCCACTCACCTCTGAAGCAGATGATACAGCTGGCCGCGGGGCTGTGGGTGCAGTGCCGAAACGCCGGCCCCCTTCTCCCCACTCACCCAACAGCACCGACAGCCAGCCTTTGAGCCCTGGGCTGGAAGTCGAAGAACCCTCTGGAAAATCAGCTGAAGAGGAAAAACCACTGCACAAAGAAGTAGCCTTCCAGGGTCACCCACACCCACACAGCTCTCCCTCAGCTTTCTAACCCCCTTCTTACTCAAGAGCAGAAGGTCAAGGATTTGCAGCTATCTTTGTAAAGCCTCCAACAAGAAGACAGGAAACAATCCAAAAGCAACATGGAGGAACTAAATTATTCAAGGAGGGGAAAAAAAAAACAAACTTCTAAAAGTCAGTAATTCCAACAAGATAAACTCATGCGTCCATGCTGTGAGAACAGGAGGCTATAAACACAGCATTCAGTGAAGACACACCAAACAAGTGCTCGTAGAAACAGGACGGCATAAGCAAGTTTCAGGAAACTTCTCACAGTGGAGCAAACAGACAAGGAAATGAAAAATAGAACTGAAAGGAAAAGAAGCTGGGGTGTGGAGGGTAGAGGGAGAAAGAGAGGAGGAGGCAGGAGAAAGAGAAGGAGGAGAAGGAAGGGGTGGAGGAGGAGGGGGAGGAGGAGGAGGAGGAGGAGGAAAAAAACCAGTCCAGGAGAACCACATCCACATGCTCACAGATCAAGGGAGCAAAAGAGAGGTGGGAGACATCATTTTAAAAAAGAAACATCCCCCAGTTAAAGGCCTGAGTTCCAGCCAGCATACTGGAAGGAAACAGATGCCCACCAAGGCATTCCTCTGTGAAATGGCAGAAAAGTGGAGGAAAATAGAAGATTCCGGAGAAGGGAGGAAAAAAATGGAGCAAGACGTCCAAATTCTTGAGAAAACTGATAGTGAGGAGCCTAGAATTCTCTACCCAAACAAACCGCCAGTGAAGCATGAGGACAGAACAAAGACATTCTCACTCACTCAAGTCCTGTCGGCTGCCATCACGATGACGGCCGCCATGTTGCATTCACCTTCAGAATCTGAGGAGAGAACGTCAAAGCAAGCCAGACCAAGACCGCTGACGGTATCTGGCTCATGCCGACTGCATACGAAACACGCTCCCAGTGCCTGCTCTAGGCCCAGCTGCCTGCAGCCGATGAGACCATTCCATTGACTTCCCAGAGAAGCCGTGTTTGGGCTTCCTCCTGGAACAGCAGTAAGCTACAAGGGCAGAAACTACAAACCCACTGGTTCCCGTCCATGTTTCTAAAGATGTCCGGCACGTGAAGTTCATGCTACAGCCCTGGAAGATGACCCGGCTGAGAGGAACCCTAATTCTCTGATGATCAGCTCGTGCCTTTGCTGACTCAACTCTCTTGTAAGCTGAGGAAAAGCAAAGCCAACTTACTAACCAAACGCCATCCAGCTAATTCCCCCCAGGAAAGGGCCTCTTCTAAAACAGGGAGGCTTAGACCTGCTTCTGACTTTGTCAAGGCAAATCACGTAACAGTTAGGAAAACAGACAGAGGCAGTAACACTGCAAAGAGAAAGCGAGGAAGTGATCCCCACAAAACGAGGCAGAGCCCCGAGAGTGCGTGGGGGAGGGACGCGCACAAGGGCTCCCGGTGGTGACTTCTCGTATTCTGCGTTCACCGCTGACTCTGAGCTCCTCACAGATGTATGATGTATTTCAAAACAAAATCTAGTTTGAACACAACCCAATTTATACATTTAAAATATTCTTAAGGCCACTGCGAAGACAGTGGACATCGCCTGCACGGGTCGACAGAGGGCCGCAAAGAGACCGTGGAGCCAGAAAGGAAAAGGAAAAGCTGTTCTTCTTTACTGTCACTATCTTTTCCAGGGGAGAATGTTATCAGGAAAGCAAGAAAGGAAGGAAAGAAGGAAGGGAGGGAGGGATGGAGGCAGAGGTGAGGAAAGAAGTATTTGATCAGTTTAAAAAAAAAAAAAAAAAGATGCCCAAGATATTGCTTCATTGCCAACAATCACTACTGCTAACAACCAATTCTTTTTTTTTAATTAATTAATAAATTTATTTTGAGAGACAGAGAGCAAGCAGGGGAGGGGCCGAGAGGGAGAGGGAGAATCCCAAGCAGGCTCTCCACGCTGTCGGCACAGAGCCCGACTCGGGGCTCAAACTCACAAACCACAAGATCACAACCTGAGCCGAAATCAAGAGTCGGACGCTCCAGGGACTGAGCCCCCCAGGCGCCCCCCCCCCATATCCCGTTCTATTTACGAGGTTCGTCTAGCGCAACAGGATCAAAACGCTGTAAAAGTCATCGCTCAATTAAACTGCAGAACGTAATTTTATCCCTGGTTTCAAAAGCGGTCTTTTTAAGTTAAAACCGGTGTTACAAACCAGGAAAAGCGCGGCTCGAGAAGGCACGTGATCTGCTGTGACGGGTTAAAATCCTGAGCCACGACTTGGGCGTACATAAAATTCAGGAAGCCAATGCCCGCGCCCAGGCCCTAAACTCCTCCTGCCCCTGGCACCTAAACGCCTTCCTCATGTCATTCCCCACACGGGACGTGAAAGGTACTGCAGACAGGTGTCCCCTCGGGACCAGGAAGCCAGTTTCTGCCAGCCGGCTGTGACCACGTTTAGAACCGCCCAAGACTCAGGGTCCGCGTAAAAACAGCCGTTGGAGGCCCTCCTCTGGCCCGGATGGGTCATCCCTGCCCACGGCTTCATATTAAGTGGTGGGCATGATTTCAAAGCGTTAAGAACCCGGCGATCCTTTCCCGCTTATGATGCCATTCCCCTTCCGTTAGCACCTACAAGGCCTCGCGCCCAGCAGGTATTCGCACAAATTTCTTGGGCCATCCAGAAAACCGAACCACCAAGAGGCGCATCACTGTCGATTCGTTTTACCCAACAAATACCCAACGAGGCCTGCTACGTCTTCTTCAGTCCCTTTGGTAAAGGGCGAAGGAGGGCAAAAGAGGTGACGTGACTCTATACCAGCCCATTATGGAGAAAAACAGTAAAGCCACGGCAGTTCCACGAGTGTTTCGTAAGACGAGAATTTGTGAGGATTACAAAGCGTGGTCAAAGCACACAGATAAACACTTGGAACGTCGCGAATGCGGAGCGGCCGAGCTTTTCGAAACTAGCTTTTGCAACCGTGGGGAGCGCTTCGACGTTAAGGAACCTTTCACTCCAGAACTCGCACGGTCTGAGAAAGAATAAACAAGTCGCTACGAACCGACATCTTACCTTAAACACTTCCATCGGCAGAGGAAACTTTGTGGCGTCAATAAGGGATTTTTCCAGAGAACACTTCCACTCAGAGGCCATCTTCAAAGGATAGATTTCTGTATCAACAGCAAACCACAGAAGCGTGTAAGGACTCACATATTCTACTGGGTGGTTCTTCCTGGAATTTTACTTTCCAGGTTTTCAGAGTCACTGGCACACTCAGCGACCGTGAGCACTCACACCCTGCCCCCATAAAAGGCCACCTGCTGAGGGGACTTTCTGACGTTCAACAGCAACTTGAGCCGCTGCGATCAGACATGAAGAATAAACTTAATAGGGCCCTTCAGGGGACACTGGCGTGCATTCTGGCGGGCATTCTATAAGTGATTTAATGGCATAAATCACCCCAGCACCATCTTCAATCACCTGCTGCCCCAAATTCCATGTAAACACCTGGGAAGTCACATCCGCTGATGAAGAACTTAGGACCCGATAAATTTCTAAACTAGACACGACGCTCATCTGGCATTTTCGGTTATTATGGCCCATTTTTCACTAAACCTCTAAGCCCACATCTGCTAAAAATAGCCCACGTGAGCCAGGAAATTATTAAAAGGTGAATTAAAATTTACCAACCAAGTTTAATATTTACACTTGAAATGTTGCTAACACACCCCACGTGGCCCATATTCCACCA